TCCAGAATACTTAAAACAAGAGGGATTTACATATGTGTAAATTAACCTTTCCACAAGAAAGACAACTCCGTTTGCTGTAAGCAAACACAGTCCATAATGAGGACAACTTATGGAAAGCAAATACAGTCATCAATGATATCATCACTGAAATACTTCCTGAAGTATCCAGTACTCACTGCTCCTCCCAGACAATGGCTGAAGAGAGAATATCTGCTCCGATGCCTCCATGTTTTTCAGCAATAGCAACACCCAGCAAACCCTGCTGTCCAGCCTTTTCCCAGAGCTCCCTGCTCACTTGGCCATCCTTCTCCCATCTGCAAAATGAACACAAAAATACATTAAACCCCCCACATGCTACTGTTTATTTGCCATGGCTGCTGCTTCACACTGGAACACCACCACCAGCAGTGTGAGGGTACAAACACAACTGTTTCACAGCCAAGAAGCAGTGGATTAGTCACAGGTTTTCTAATCTTCAAGTCCACAGATGCCACTGGCATTACAAGGGCATCAACCATAAAACAGGTTTGAACTCCTGCTTCCAACATGTAACCTGACAGGAATTTCATTAGACTTGTTATGACTGTTACACCAGACTGGTATTTAGGAGATTTAGCCACAACCATCTGGATAATTACAAGCAGGTCTTTATCTTCACGACACTCCACCTCTCCCAGTACAAAATGAGTTTGACACGTCAGTATCTTTTGTGAAAGATTTCCATTCTACCAATGAGAACTGCTTTATCAGAACCAAAATGTTATATTAGTCACTTTTATATAAAAATTGCTCCCTGTGCACTTAGAACAAGTCAATACTGTATCTTGTGAAATTACTGCTTTAAGGTAGTTTCAGGTCTGTGTAAACAGACAGACTTTTAGGGGCTTAGCTGCTGACAGTTTGCAAACTTCAACACCACAGGAATCCATTATTCTTAGAAAAATAGTTCCTCTTTATGGGATTTGCCAATTCAGTAGAAAGTTGGATAGCCATTAACAGTCCAGGTGGTTTTTTTAATGTCTGGGTTTTTTTTAAACTACAATTTTAAAATTACATGATAGATTATATCAAAGACATTCCTCTGACACACCTGAGTGCAGCAGAGCTATACCACATCTCTTCATCCACAGTTAACCAAGTATCTTATCCTATCTGTAGAACAGTATCATAGAATCACAGAATGGTTTGGGTTGGAAGGCACCTTAAAGATCATGTTGTTCCAACCCTCTGCCACAGACAGGGACACCTTCTACTAGACCAGGTTGCTCAGAGCCCCATCCAACCTGACCTTGGACACTTCTAGGGGTGAGTGTCCACAGCTTCTCTGAGCAACCTGTTCCACTATTTAAGCTTTCTAGTATTTAAGCTCCTTTCCAGAGCTTTTGCTCCTACACTGGAAATCTTACACAAATCTCTCTTGACCACCTTTGCTTCACCCCTCCCCTCCCCTCGCTTTCAGGGCCATTCCCGTCTCTACTTTACCCAGCACCAAAGCTTCACCTCCTCACAATAATTCACAATTGCATTCACTGATGCCACATTTGGCTTTTCACACCAGCCCAGACAATTAATATACTGTGCCTGAAGCCTCCGTGTTTACTTGAAAGGTGTAAGAACAGATTGGTTCATCAGTCATCGAAGTGATGCAAGAACAAAATTTCAACTTGTTCCAGCCTCTCTAAGAAACCCTTGAGTCAGCACAACAGCAAATAGGAGCTTCAGTAACCTCAAGTAGAGCCAGTACCTGTTCACAAACCTGCACCCCAAGTCTAACAAAAGACGAGGGAAAACATCTGCTTTTGTGGACAGAATATAACAGCACAATGGAAGAGCACAGCATACTACCACGAGATTGTGGTTTGAGGATAAAAAAACTAGCTGCCACCAATCCTGCTGAGAGTCGTTTCCATTGCCTCCTGCTGCTCACTCCTGCCCCAGAGCCACAATATTCCACCCACTCAGTTGGGAGCTGTATCAGGATACTCATCTAGCAGGGCAATTTCAGAATAAGCCCTTCACTAGCCCACACTGTTTTCACTTCAAGTAAAGTAAAAATTGCTTAAGACCCTACTGAAGCTTAACACTTTCAGTTCAAAATAACTTAATATTCACTTAATTTCTTTTCTTTCCCCAACTGTAACTTGATTGGATATATCTAAAATAAGGGCTAAAACCACCCTCCAGCTCTAGTTCAGTGGAATTACAATACTTCTACTCTGTCCCACATTCCCACAGAAATAAAAGTTACAGAAATTTAAACAAAGATGTTTTGTGCAAGTTTCTTGGTAATAAATAATTCACGTTACCATGCTATATGATCTTGTATGTTGTTACAAAATCTACTGCAATGTCACCTAGACACAAGATGAATGCCTTTTTTTAGTTACATCAGTCCCATGGGAATTGAACTGTCCCCTAACTCCACCTAAGACACTGGTGTCAGAGTTAATCCTACAAAGCAGGAATACTTTGCTGCAACTCTTGCAAACTGCATTTGTCTGCTCATAGGCCTAAGCAGGTGGTGCCAGACTGCCTGCACTGGAGCTCAGAGGATGCAGGGAATTTTGGTTATGTGTGATTTTTCTTCACGCACAATTTTCGCAGGTTTGTTTTAATGCAGTAAATTCAAAATAGAAAGCTTGTAAATGAAAACTAATAACCTGTTTATCTTGCCATATTAAGAGTAACACTGCAGAAAGCATTTTTGGGGGGAAAAAATGCGTATCCTTTGGCAAAACAAAACATTTAAGAGGTTCTCTTACTCTGCATGAAAAGGCAGCACTTCTTCCTGAAAGAACTTCCTGGCGCTCTCCCTGAAGATATCATGCTCTGACGAGAAGATTCTCCGAGTGCCTATATCAAGCAAAGTTTTAGCAGAAGATGGTTCCAGGCGCTTTGTGCCATGTTGTTCGGCTTGCAGAGGACTAAAAAAGACAAATGAAGCATCTGTTAGAGCACAGGCACTCTATTTATATTTACATAACCTTTTTAAAAGAGAGGAAGCACATCCCAACTCTGGTACACTGTTAGGTCCAAAGGATACCCACCATAAACACAAAGACTTAACAGACTTGCAGGAGGTAAGGCAAGACTAGCTTGTCCTTAACACTTCAAACAAATTAAAAACAATAATAATACATATATAGGTAAAATAATAAAGTTTCTGTTAAAGTTTCTGAGTGCTAAAAATCATCGCTGCCTTCTCTCTCCCCTTGCCACACAACCTCCAAAATGCAATTCAGCTCAATTTGAACTGAGGGGGTAACTTGATGAACAAGTAAACATTTTTGGTGAATTTTGTTCATTCTGTATATACTCCTCAAAAAGTCCCAAACCTGCAAATCCATGACACTGAAAATCCACATACTCAGAATAAAAGTGAGTGCAATGTGGATTTGCACACTCCAAGGGATGTATTGTATTCTGCATTATCACATATACATAACCTTGAAAGCAATACTTTCTAAATCATTCTAAATCTTGGTATTTTTGTTGTGCGGGAAGGCCGAGCCTCACAAAACTCTGATAAAAACATACGTAAAATTAAAATGCTGTTTTAACAAAAGAAAAGAAAAAAACAACACCTGAAACTGGTGTCAGTAGTAGAAGAAAAGTGTAATTATGAAATAACAAGGAAGGGTTGATAAAGCTTTAGTAGGGGTTTGGAATATAAAGGATGACATATTACTTTAAGGCTGAAATGAAAATTCATATTTGTGCACTGGATTCTTTGACTTATTTTTATTTTATTGCCACAAAACATCAGAAATTTTAAGTACAGAGCTGAGCTGTAGTAAATGGAAAAGGCATTCACTGTTCCTTTCTCAAACTATTTTGTGAACCTCTCCTCAGTTCCTCAGCACAGCAACTATGTGTAGTCCACAAAATTCAACTGAGCCCACAGTTATTTACTCTGTTACTGAGACAAAAGTCTTTATTTACTGCCACATGTAGTTACTCATGCTCTCCCAGTGCAAAGGATTAAACACCCCAGAAACACAGACGCTATTTCTTTCTAATCGTATTTGTAAAAAATGGGATACGGCAACTTGAGTATTTTGTACCCTCAAAGGTAAGCACACAGTGACTCTCTCAAAAGCTCCACCTTATTTTTAACACTGTTTGAGACGATGCTGAGCTTTCTTTAAGTCCACCCTTATGTTTAATTATGGCTCGCACGCCGCATGTCACACAGGGAAGGGCCTTATGCCAACCAAAGCCCTAGGAGAGACAACTCCTAGGCCGGGGAAGGTGTGATCACACTCCTGCCCTTCTGCTCCGAAAAAAAAACCCCTTCCCCGATGCTGAGCGCCTGATGCCACGGGGGAATGGTGTGCCCGGGCAAGGACGCGGCCAGCCGTCACCTGCCAGCAGGGGACTCGCTGTCCCCAGGCCGGGCCGGGAAGTGGAGCAAAGGTCGGGATATCGCGGCGATGCGCTGGGGCTCCCTCCCGCACCGCGGGGCTCGGCGGGACCCCGGACCCGCCCGGCTCGGGGGGCTCGCCCAACCCCAGCTGCTGCCTCCTGCAAGGGGAGCACAGCCGCAAACACACACACACACGCCTGCATCTACACATACGGTGCCTGTAACCCTCCCGCCACACGCCCAGAGCACACGCATCCACACCGCTCCGAACACACACACACACGGATGCGCACACCCACCGCACACACACATCCATACAGAACGTGTGCCCACACGGCTCTACAGCCCCATCAACCCGCACCCCCGCGCAGACGGGCAAAGGCACACAGCCCAAACTCGGGGTGCCCTCCCACCCGCCCTCGCGGTGCTCCCCGGCGGGATTCCCCAGGCACCAGGGCCGGCCGCGCTCACCTGGCCTGGGCAGAGGAGAGCCGGCAGCCGGCGGCCCGCACAGCGGCCCGCAGACGGATCAGCCGCGCCGCCATCTTACGGGACAGGGCGGGACAGTGCAGGGCGGCACCGCCGCTGGTGTCGGCGGCGGGGGCGGTCCGAGCCCTGGCGCTCTGTTATGTTGCGAGTCATCATCATCAGTAATTTGTTATTGTCGCCTGTTTTCGTTGTTGCTGGCGGTTCTGTCAGCGATGCTGCTCTGCTTGTCCCGCGCGGCGAATGGGAGGATATATGCTGCCCAAAGCCTCTCGCAACGCTCACCCCTGTAATTATCCCTGCTCTCACCTATTTGCCGTTGTAAGTCCCTGCCGTGTTTAGAGCAGGATTATGATGAAACGTATATAATAAATACTTTTCTCGCATAGCTTTGAAGTCACGCCAGGGAGGGGAGCGGGAGCAGGGGTGACCGCGGGGTTGGGCACTCGGGAGAGGCTCCCGTGCCCCGCCTGGCCGTGCCCCCGTCCCCTCCCTCAGCACCCTCAGGGACGGCGCTGTCCCCCTCCCGAGCCGGCATGAGGGGAAGCCGGGCCCCTTCCCCTGACGGCTGCCCCTCATTGGGCACTTTGGGCATTTTGTCTTTAGCCCACTTTAATTTTTGAGTGCTGCTCCCCTCAAGGAGGTGGTTTATGGTTGTTGTTGTGCAAGGGGCTCCGAAGGATGGAGGTGTTGTCCTGAACCTTACCCACACTGAGGCGAGGTATTTCTTTTTTATTCTGGTTTGCGCAAAGTAGGGACCTAGGTGGCAACCCCCAAAAGGCTAGCTCCCCAGTCATCAAAATTTTACACTATTTATACAATTTAACAAACAAAGGCATACATTACATAACCTTTTTATTAGTTAGTACTCAACCCTCTATTTGCAAGTTATATCTCTTGCTTCTCACGCTCATTAGTCCACATGCACATTCTTCCCTCCATTGGAGTCTGGGGTCTATTTTGGGTAGGTGGTCCATGAGTTGGGGGTCATGATCTCCCACTGACAGAATTATCTTTCCCCCAGTTACTTCAGTGCTCATAACTGTACTGAAAATAAGTTATATTTTGACTCAAAGCCTTATTCAATCCTTAAGGAGCTCAGTGTCAAGGGGGCATTACTTTAAGGAGAAGCAAATCACTGGAGGTGAGGGAAAGGATAAAGGTTTAAGAGTCTGCTTGTCGTTCTTCATCCTTCCAGCTCCTGTGGTCACCCTGCTGCGTGGGGCACAGCTCTGGCAGAGAATACTTTTCCCGAGTCAGCCATCTGGGGAGACTTTTGAGCTGTAAATGGACATCTTTCACTGAGAAAGGAGCTGCTACCCGCTTCTTTTACAAACAATACCGTAAGCTACAAATTGATAGATTAATTATAACTGATATCTAGAAAATAGGCATTACCCATCATCATTATGAATAATAGGGGCTTAAAACAATGTACAGTCCCCATCAATGGGATTTTACATGCTTTCCTCACTCCCCACGTGGTGTTATGGAACCCTCAGTCATTATCCTGTGGAGTCATGAGACGACACAAAGATTTTAAGCGCAAAGGGAGTTTTAAGCCTTTGTGAAGTAAGATAACATGCAGGTACCCCAAAATGCCAGGCAGTGGAAGGATGGTAGGGAAGTTTATTCCCTAAGTTGAGAACACTAGACTTCAAAGAACATTATTCTTAACAGCGTTTCAAACCCTGAGCCTGATGAAAGACACACCCCGTGTTCTTCTCAGGGCCTTTATTATTCCTGGACCCCACTCTGTGGGGACCTTCGACATGTCTGCAGGACTTACTTCTTCTTGTATCAGGGAGCGTTTCTCTAGAATGCAGGAGGAGAAAACATCTAAAACTCTCATTGGGAAAGATGCCTCTTTTAGGCAGGAAGGTCTTCCTACACTAAACAAGCTCTGATCTCGTCACCATAAGCCTTCTGTAAGGGTCTTCAACCCTTACAAACTTGATGTTTGTTGAGAAATAAAACAAATGCTGACAAACAAGATTGTAATGGCTCAAAACGCAAAGCAGATCAGCTCAGAAGATATTTTTCAAAGCCTCATCATTTTAAGTTAATAATTTATTGGGAGGAGAATTGTACAAAATCTCTCGAGAGAATGTCCATGGCTTGGGTGTTTTTGTATATTAATCCATAGCCTAAACCTCTTGTAAAGTTTTTTTTTAATGTATATATATATATATAAATCTTTCATTTGAGAAGTGCTATTTTCGACTACTGTGTTCCTACACCATAAGCCAGGAGATGGCACTATAGGAATTCCTATGGATGGAACTGTCTGAAAGCAGCCTAGCCTCTCAAAGGGCATGTGGTGTTTAGTGTGACACAGTGACACACTGACAGTGCAGAGTTGTCTGTCTGTGTGTAGTTACAGGCAGAAGTACCTGCATTACAAAACGAGTTGAAGCCTGGAAATTTGTGCTATTTTTTCACTTTGGAGTCTGATCTCACATTATTATATCAGAGTAGGCAGGAAGGAACCATGCAGGGGCAGTTGGGAAGGAAAAACTGAATAGGAGTTAGGTGGGAATTACTGAATTTGGATTCCCAGAGGTAAAATTTGGCTGTGGTTACGAGGCCCTGTCAGGTACAGCCCACTGGGAAGTGCCTTCCTTACGCTGGTACAGGCTCCTGGGTGAGCCCAGCACTTTGGTCTCGGATCTGTTAGCAAACAGGAGGCTGATAGGAAGATTCCCATTCCCAGAGATGCCAAGTCACCCAGTTTACAGACTTGGCAGCTTTGTTGTAGCAAGAAAATTTAGCAGGACATATCCCATCACCCACGCACAGGGTGAAGGGATAAGGGAGCTGAGAGATGGGAGATCCTATCCTAAGCCACAGAAAAGTAAACTTTGTCCAGGTTTCAAGTATCAGTTCCTGGGATCAGGAAATGCCTCAAAACGGACAGTGGCTAACGTTGACATTTTGCATACCATTTTTGGGGGGGAAGAAGTGTGGGTATAAAGAATTAGATATTAAGAACGATGGAAGTTTTTGTTCGTTTGGGTTCTTCTGAATTTTTTTTTATAAAGGTTCTTGCAGAAAACAGACTCGAAGTAGGTACTGCAGCAGGGCAAAGTGCAAATGCATTATTGGCCTTCTCATAGATGCTGTTCCCAGTTTGGGATTGTGCTTTTCTTGCAACAACCTAATGGAACTTTAATGAGACACAGCATAACCTGACATAACTGACAGGGCTCTACCCTTTCCTCTTGCAACCTGGTCCCTTCCCCTCCATTCCTCCTGTGGGCACAGTCGCAGACTGAGCCTTTAATTCTTGTTTTCCACCAGTCATGGTGACTCCTTCCTGACCTCTGGTATGCATAGCTCAGGAGAGGGATATGGTTTGCCCCATGTTATTGGGTGTAAATTCTCCCAAATTAGTAGTTCTCCTGCTGTCACGTTGCGTGGTAAGCAGGAGACTTTTACGCTTGAGATTCCCAACTGCTCAGATCTCTGTTACTTTGTGGTAAACACTGTACCCCTTTGTCATCCCCAGCACTAGCAATATCCACCCCTGTGGTATTAGAAGTGTTGCCAGTATAATGTGCAGACACCAAGTCAGTGGGCTTCCCTTACCATGTGTTACTGCCTTGGCCTGAGAACTTTGTGGCATCTGGGCTTTGTTACAAATTGGTTTGGTTGAGGAGTCTCTTCTGAGTCACCCTTTATGTTCCTTTTTTTCATGATTTTCAGTGTTAATAGGCCATTGCTACAGTTGGAAAGAATTTATATTCTCTTCAGGGCCTTCTTTGCTGAGAACAATGTCTAACATGTTTACTACAGTGAATGCAATTTAAAGCATTATCTTACTGAAAAAAAAAAGCAAAAAAAAAGCACATGGCCTTGCTAAATACAAAGTTAAAAAATAAAGGAATTGTAGGTTACTTGGGAGAAAAAGTGTTCAAGTGAAGCTCTGTGGGTAAGAGCGGTTGAAATGAAATTTGGTTTGTTTTTTGTCAGACAGTGTTCATCTGAGGAATACATGCTCTCCAGACATGAAGACTGTGCAAGTATATTCAGGTCAGAATAGGCATAAAAAAGAATTATCTCTTTTTTTATTATTTATTTTAATAAGAGGAAAGCTTTGTTGTCTTTTATTCCCACTGCAAAGTAAAATAATTTTTAAAGGAATTAAGCAAAAAAATCTCATTGCATGCATTTTTTCTGTCAAATACTTCACGTACATTTTTCCATGTGTATTCCTGAGCTGGGACATCATTAGTCCTATTACATCTGCAGCAGCATCTGTTGCTCTGTAGAAGGGTGTTCTCTTCCAGGGGTAGGAGTGTTGGATTTAATTTTGATAGCAGACAATTTAATGTGAAAAACTACTGGTTAATGCAGCCCTTGGATGCAACGCTCCTAATTTTTCTCAGAGCTTTATTGTGATATGCTTGCTTTTGCATAGTGTTTGCTATCCAAGGTGCAAATCTGACGGGGAAGAACTCCTTAAATGCATGTTCTTGTCTGATCAGTCAATCTGAAGAGTTCCCCTGACAGCTGGTGACATCACATTCCAGCACTGGGGGTGATTTGTACCAGATGGCTGTCTCTGTACCTGGGTAAAGAGGCTTCTCTTCAAAAAGCCGTGGTTACGTGTGTAAGGCTGTCTTGCCACATGGGATAGTGATACACATGGTGCCGCGTGGTGATACTGGCTTTAAAGCCAAGCTGCAGGATCTGACCAGAAGTTTTGAACACACGGCAAGAGACAGCATTGGCCCCTCTCACAAAGCATTTCATTTCCTTTTTAGACTTTCAGTCTGTGTTGCAAAGAGTGAGCCTAACTGTTCATGTGTGACATGAATAGCCTAGAGGTTGGGTTTCTGAATAGGTTATTTAAAGCTGATGTGCTGTCTTTCCTCAAGAACATGATGCCAATTTAGCATGCGTGCCCATCATCGACTTTTTAATGTTGGCATTATAGTGCAGGGCAAGCTGGAATAAGATGCAAAGCTCTCAGCTTGGTATGCAACTCTCCTCAGTGTGCCTCTGCGTGGGGGTCACACAGTGTCAGTGTGAGATGTGACAGAGAGAGATGGGCTGCAGCTGATGTGTGTGCCTTCCAGTGGGCCTCCTCAGGGCGTGGGCTCCTGGGAACCAGCTCCCGTTCCTGTGTCCTGGCACACAGCACAGCTGCGCTCCCGCTCTCTGACCACATGCAGCGTATGGGCTGGCAGCAGAGCTATCCCCTTCGGCACGTGCCTTGGAGCACCAGAAAGATCCCACAGAAAGATTCTCCAAGGCCACCATAGGAGGCCCAGCAGTAGTGGGAATCTGCAGGCAGAGGCACATGAGAGTCAAGTGTGGTAGTCTCATGACTTGAGAACGTGACTTGAAGGTCTGAAGGTGATGATGGCAGGTGATATCTTACCATGGGACACATTTTGTTTTTGCCAGATCTCTTGACATGAAACCTCAAACTAACAAACTGTGTGAATTCTCAGTAAATTGTTTCCAAATCCCTTCTACCGAAGTTCAAGAGCAGCAGTTGAAGGGAGTGCTCCCAGTGAAGATGGAAGTTACAGACTGAAGTCCTGGTTTCCTCTGTAGGGAGAATTTGTTAAGTCTGGTACCAAAGAAGGAAACTTCAGCTACTCACTCAGGTGTTTGTTCACCCATCAGCATTGACTTTAGCATGTGGCACAGGGTGAAAGCTCTCAGTGGGCTATGAAGAATTCAGCAGAGTTTGTCTCTTGATCAGAGCTGTTGTCCTGCATAAATCAGCTGCAGACCATTAAAAATACACTTGATTTTCAAGCAACATGGGTCAGAGCAGCAGTCTGCAAAAGGCACATAAAGGCACCTTGCTGAACACAGCAGACATGAATATACTTACGGTGTTGCTGAAGGTTGAGAGCACTGCACGAAACAGGGCTGTGCAACCGAGGCATTACCTCCCAGAAAAGGGCTGCTCCCTGTATGTGTAATCAGTATTATGGTTGCTGTAGGATGAAAATAGACTTCTGTACACTTTATTATATCAGATTCAAACTGAGTGGTGTGCTGTGTGGTGGTATTAAGTCCTCCCAATGGTGTTTTAAACTGTCTCTGTTCAAGCAGTATTGATGCTTACAGCTTCAGACTTCTTGTCGGTCATTGGTTTGGTCTTTGGGAAAAAGCTGCTCCATTAGGCTCAAATGATAAAGGCAACACTGAGATCAGACCTCATGAACTACTTTTTCTTCAGAAGTGCCAAGCAACCCTCTTGCCAGGGTTTGCCAATCCTAAATCCTGTAGCTTTTCTGCTCTTTTAACGCCATTTTTTGTAATGTGCAGAATACATATTTATTGTTTCACCAGTCCCTGGGGGTTTAGATACAGTAGCTCT